ACCCTAGAGATCCCACCTGTGGAGGAGGAGCTTCAGGGCTTTGGGCCCTTTGTTCCAGTGAACTTAGAACCATGATGTTACAATCCAAAATATTCAGAGGATAAGTGGCGAAACGTGCCAAAACACCCTCCGAGTTAAGCATATAGAATTTTGGCTTAAGGAGCACTTGGGTAATTTAATGACATGTGCTATCTTTTTAGATAGGCATCATAGTCTATGAATTGCAATGATTCATCCTGTCTCAAGAAGACGGAACTATTTTAGATACATGTGTATGCATTTGAAGCAAAAACTTTATTTTGTGTGATTTTTTTTGGTGTCTATTTGCTTCTGGGTATCTGTGTATAAAATTTATATTTCTGTTTCTTTACCTGCATTAGAGAACATGCATAAGTTTGTGGGGACACCCCTCCCCTCCACACACACACACACCTACATGGGGTACGACATGTGCATATTTGTGCTCACCTCATCTCCAGTGTTAGGAAAGGATACTGGTCATCATTCTAGCTCAGCTATCTCATTTTACTGGTGAAGAAACTGAGGCCCAGATGGTAAAGTGGCATGTCTAAGATCACACAGTTGGCTAAGGTGGCAAAGGTAAGACTAGAATCCAGGATTTTTGATTTGTAGTCCAGGACTCTTTCTATAACATTAAAATAAGTTACAAATTGAAAAAAGAAGGCATAGAAACACTTATTTGTTTTTCTTTTTTCTCCAATCAATGAGTAAGTACTAAGAAGGTCAATCTAGAATTAGCTATGTAACTTCAAATGTTAAGTTTTTAACACTGACCTGGTTCAGTATTGATTTCGTTTATGAAAACCATATTTATACTGAAGTTGTTAAAGAATTTCAGAGTACATATGAAGGCTGTGCTAAAACAGCCTTTGTATTTGAAGAAAAGTATCCAAAATATATAAGCTGTTGTTTAACAATAAAAACATCTGTTGTTTCTCATGATGGCTGTAGTGCTAATATGACGTGGCAAAATAATATCCCCAAATATCCATGATTAATCTGAATTGGAAAGGGTTCACCTCCCAGAGACTTCATATAGCGGCTTCAATTGGCATTGGTAACACACACACACACACACACACACACACACCAGCTATATCATTACCTAGCATTCTGACACAGTAAGACATTGAAACCAATCACTAATTTTTTTTTTTTAGCTGAGCCATCCTGCCACCTGTTGGCAGCTCAGCGGTAGCTCAGCTCGGGTCGGGACTCAAACTGCTGTTGCTCAGAGCTCACACTCTTGAGTGAGCTCTTAACCAACTGAGCCACTCGGCCAGCCCCTACCAATCACTGTTTTTAAACGGATGGTGTGTCCCTACTAGAAATGAATCCCAAAAACGCCAATGCAGAATTTTTGGATTTTATTCAAATTGCATTTGAACGCAGGTGTGCCTGTCATTAAGTGTTTATGTTTACCTATACACATGAATGTTTGCCTGGCAACTGTGTTTGTTCTCACTTTGGTGTGCATAGATTTGCGTGTGGGTGTGAGGGCTTCCATCCAACTTGGGATTGTGAAGGAACTGTCGTCTCTTTTAACAAAATAAAAAAAACAGTCCCTCCCAAATGTCGGCTGTGGGAGAAGAGTGTTAGGGTTCGGGGTGGATGTGGATGGAACAAGGTTCACTTTTCCCGTGGGGTTCCCTTGCTAGGTTTCTTGCTGATTCTGCCAAGCTAGCTTTCCCCATAAACTCCAGTTAAGAGGGAACTTCTGAACACATATAAGCCAGATTGTCATTTTCAAAGATATTTTCCTAAATACTAAGGAGGGACAAAACCTAGGAAATGGAAAATACAAAAAACATAAGGACTGTTTTGAGTTCCTTCCCTTGCTGGTGATCTCTGGTGCTCTTCTAGCCTCAAGTGTGCCTTCCTCCTGTGTTTCTGTGGCTTCTTGCCTAGCTTACCAACTCCTTAGGTCTGGCCTTGTCACATAGGGAGTGTAGGCTGTCATCCCAACATCCTCTCAATAGAGCTATTCCCTCCCCCTCCACCACAGATGAAGTCCTTTGAGCAAAGCCAGGAACACTAGTGATATATTCACCTGGGCTTGTCCTATTTAATCCTCACAACAGCTCTCGCGGCAGATGCTAGGCTGTTCCCACTTTATAAGCGATGGAACCGGGGCTTGGCACACATAACGTCCCCACGGGTACGCAGTTTGTAAGTGGCAGAGTTGGGCTGAGATCTCAGCTCTGTGTGTTTCCAAAGCCACAGTCTTAACCATGATAGTATAAAGGCTTCCTGTGCTTAAGCAAGTCCCTAAGTCTGTCCCCCACACCTGCCCAGTCCGTTTCCATATACACGCCTCCTCTTTGGGGGATGGCCAGACTGTAGTCACTGACACCGTGAATGACTTCACCCTTCAGGTAACATCTGGCCTTCTACATACAGTGTCATGGTCCCTTAAAGCCCCCCAGGTGTAACCAGCGTAACAGGGATACTGAGGTTGTAGGATGTATTTTAGGTAAATGGAGAAAGGAGGGTCCTCCCTTCTCCTTGCAGCATGTGGGGCATGAGCAGCTGGGCTGATAGACCCTGGCCCACTGGAAGCCGTCCCCTCCCAGCAGACAGCAGTCCCTTTCATCCTGTCTGACTTAGCAGTTTATTTTAGGCATGGCCTGACCAGGTGCTCTGGGTCAATAGGCTTAGTTTTAAATAACTGGATTCCTCTCAGCAACCTGTCTCCTTTAGAAGGAAAGGACATGAGCCCGGGACGCTGAGGATGGTGAGGGAAGGGAGCGAAGCCAGAAGACTGGAAATGTCTGGGCTCTGTCACTGCCTGCATCACAGGGCAGGTCCATCACTTCCTCATTCTGGGCCTCAGTTTTCTCATCTGTAAAGCAGCGGGTTGGGCTGGATCATTTCAAACACCTGTGGCAGTCTGCCCCATATCTCTGTTCTAATCCTGTGTTTGTTTACAGAGGACAAAATAGCTATTGAAAAAGCATTCACTCCAGAGTGGTGAAGCAGAAGCAACACAGTGTAGGGCAAGCAGCTGTGCCCTGGAGCCAGGAGACTTGGGTTCTGGTCTTGTTTGTGACACAAACTGGGTGATCTTGACCAAGCTAAGCCTCAATTTTCTTACCTGTTTTAAAAGGGAGTGATAAAGTTTCAAATGATATTGTGAGGATTACAGGGAGCAATTGTAGGTGGGAGCCCTTTAAACTCTTAATGCACTTATACAAAATAAGTAAACGCACCTGGGAGTTCCTCAAAAGGTTAAAAATATTAGCATTATCATACGATCCAGCAATTCTACCTCTAGGTATATACCCAAAAGAACTGAAAGCAGGGTCTCCAAAGAAGAGATTTTTGTAAATCCATGTTCGTAGCAGCATTAATCAGAACAACCCAAAAGTGGAAGTGTGCATTCACAAATAAGTAGGTAAACAAAATGTGGTCCATACATACAATGGAATATTATTCAGCCATGGAAAGGAATGAAATTCTGATACATGCTACAACTTGGGTGAACCCTGAAGACATTATGCTAAGTGACATAAAACAGACACAAAAGGACAACTATTGTATGGTTCCACTTATATGAGGTACCTCATATAATAGGCAAATTCAGAGAGACAGAAAGTACAATAGAGGTTACTGGAGGTGGAGAACGGGCAGTTCTACTTTAATGGATACAGAGTTTGGATGATGAACAAGTCCTGGAAATAGAGAGTGGTGATGAGTGTACTAAATGCCACTGAATAGTATAATTAAAACAGTTAAAATGACAAATTCTGTGTTATGTGTACTTTAACATATTTTAAAAAGTAAATGCACACTTTAAAATTTTTAGCTGTCTTGGCAAAACCTGGGATTGAGGCGCTCTAGTTCTCCCATTTGATCTTGGGCAAGACATTTTAGAAAAGTAAAATTTCTTTCTCTGTCAAATGGAGTCAAACAGTATCCTCTCTACCTTTTCCCCTCCTTCCTGCTCCCCTCACCCTGTACACCTCACAGAACTGGGTCAAAAGCTTGCCCAGCCAAGCGGCCAGGTCACATCAAGGTGGCCTCCATTACCCGTTATGAGAGGAGATCCAGTCCTGGCTTGTTCCATTCTCAAGGCTACTGTGGACCCCTTTTCTGGATCCTGCATGGGCCCTTATTTTGGAATTACAACAGAAGGAGGGCTTTTCAACTGTATCAACCTTTTCACAGCTGACCTGACTCAGCCAGCCTTCGTCCCCAGTGCTTAACCTGGTGTCTGGCACACAGCAGGTGCTCCGCATTAATTTTGTAACTGAGAAGATACCCTCACTCAAGTCCTATTCAATTCCATGCCAACTTTATTCATTGATATAAGGAAAAAGCCAATTTTTGTTTGTGAGAAAGCTGGGGTGGGGTGGGGGGAAAGACAGGTGAAGGCACAAGAGAGAAAGTTAGACAAGATACAGCAGACATTGAACAATTTATTGTGGATAATGTCTAAATTAGCCCAATGTGCCAAGTGCTGCAGACAATTCCAACAGAGCGCTGGGGGAGGCTGGACTCAGCTGGGGCACCTCAGGAGGCTGACTTGCAGATGTAACTAGAGGCTGGGAGGGTGTGCAGCTTTGAGCTTTGAGGTGGGGATGGCACACAGCGGCACTGAAGGATCTTAGTCTGGATTGTACTCAGAGCATCCATGCTGGCCCACCCAAAGGGGTAAATCAAGTCTGAAGGAGGCAGGAAGCATTGGCCCAGGTGACTAGGCCAGGAGACACGGGACGTCCTTGGCCTGGGCATGGTGGGCTCTTGGCAAACCCATGACATGCCTGTCTGCGACCACAGGCTCTGAGCCGGTGGGTGGCAGGGACCCCTGGTCTCCCTGGCAGCGAACCCCGGTCAGGAGCGTCCGGTCCTCCTGGGACCTGCCCCTGTGCCTGGGCTTGTGGGGCTGGGGGCCGTCTGGGCGCCCAGCTAGCGCTGTGCTCACCACCCGGGGTGCCGCGGGGGGGCGGGGAGAGCGGCCGCCTAGCCCAGCCCCGCGGATGACAGGAGCCAGGGAGCCGAGGAGGGAGGAGCCGCCGCCGCCGCCGAGCGCTCGGCTGAGGAGCAGTGAGAGCGGGCGCGGAGTGCCGGCGGCTGCGAGCGCGCTGAGCGGGGGAGAGGCGCTGCCGCACGGCCGGCCACAGGACCACCTCCCCGGAGAATAGGGCCTCTTTATGGCATGTGGCTGGTAACTTTCCTCCTGCTCCTGGACTCTTTACACAAAGGTGAGACCGGCGCGGGCAGCAGAGCAGAGGAGGCGGCGGCGGGCCGGGGAGCGCTCTGCTGGCGGCCAGGCGGGGTACACGGCGGGCTCCAGGTGTCAGGGAGACCGACCTCGGTGCCTGGACCCGGGTGGGGCGCAACCGGGACGGGGCAAGCGCCCGGAGAGGGGCAGATGAGAGTCCGCCCTGGACCGCTCTGCCAGCCACCCGCGCCTGCCGTTTTGGGGGAGTGGGTGTCGGGGTGGTGGTGTATGAGCCCCTAGTCTCCCCGCTCCTTGTCCGGCCACAGTTCTGCCCCGGACCCATCCCCCCACCTCTTGCCAGCTTCCTGCGGCTTGGTGGCGCTGGGACCCCAGGGTGTCTTTGGGGTCGAGGGGTCCTTAGGCCGTGAGTGTTCACCTGGAGTCCTCGCTTCATTCGTCCTCGGACTCCGCAGTTTACTCCTTCTCTGCCACCGTGCGCCCCTCTGCCGCCCGGGACCCCTGCGCCGCACCGCAGGGTGCTTATTCACGCCTTGGCTGGATGCAGGGCGGGGAGAGCTGCGGGTCCCGAGAGCTGGGGTCCCTCGGATGGCAAGTTTGTTCTGCAAACCCAAAGGTCGCCTTCCCCTAACCCCACCTCACCCCCTGCCCCCGGCGCTAGCCCCGGCTTCGCAGCGCCGCTTTGGCCACCTCGGGCAGCACGCCCCAAGGTGCGAGATTTTCGGCTTTGGCGCCTGGTCAGCGGGACAAGGGAACGGGTCTTCGGTCAGGGGGGTGGAGGGTGGTGTGTTTCTTTCTCCGGAAAGAAGGCGTTGCTAGGGTTGGGTCCAGTTGTCCGGCGTGTCCAGACCTGCTGCTGGGGCGCCATGCACCTGATCCTCGAAGTAGCCGAGACTGGGGGCTGGAAGTGGGTAGACATTTCTGATCAGAGTTACCTGGGCACTAAGTTGGGACCAGGCCGTCCCTGGCGGTCGGGCTTCTAGGCCATCGCAGAGGACGTGCCCCGGGGCGCGCAGATGGCGGGAGCTGAGGCGGCCGAACTCCGCGCCCTTGCGCGGAAGAGCACACACGCTCGTACAGGCTCAGCTTTACCAGTTCAGCCCTCTAACTTTTCTCCTTCGCGCCCTGGGGGCAGCTTCTCCCCACTTTGCCCAGGTGGTGGCCTGGACGGAGCTGCAACTCTTGACCCCTAGGCAATGGGGGAAGGGCAATCCAACAGAGGGTTGGCGTTCTGGGGTGGGGGGAGCGTCCAGCCCTTCAGTGCTGACGCCCCAGGGGTCTGGAATCTGCAACCTGCCGCTGACTGCATGCAGTATCTCCTGGCTTTGTGGGGAGAAGGGTGGCCCTTATTTTATTTGTAAATACCACCCAGTCAAAGCCAGACTGAAGGCCAAGGTATTGCTGGGGTTTGCTTAGAGACTGGGTGCAGGGTGGGGGCTTGCCTGTGAACCGTGGACAAAGTAGGTGAGTTTCTCAGACTAAATGGGGCCACTGGGTAACACACCAAGCCCGGCCTAGGTTTGCTGACCCCTTGCCCCCCTTCCCCCTACCAGCGCCTTCTCATCCCACTTTATTGGAGCAAGAAGCCTGCCTAACCTTCAACGCCGCCCCCCTCCCCTCCCCGCCAACCCCCAACACACACAACCCAGTCTCTCTCCCCAGGGTCTTCCAGCCTCCCTCCGCCCCCGCAGACTGGCTCGGCTTGCAGCTTTAATTACATTAATATTAAAAATACATAAGGTGAGGAGCGGCAGCTTTCTCTCTCACTAGTTCTCTCTCCACCCCCCGCCCCTTTTCCATTTTGTCCAGGGAGAAAGCATAGGCAAGAGCTGCTGCCACCCTCTTGCCCGGCTTTGTCCTCAACCTCCTCCCACACCCCCTTTCTGGAGCCCATTCCCCAGGAGTGGAGGTCCCTTAGCAAATACCTGAAGGACTCTCCCCTCCCTTTCCCAGAAGCTGGGCATTAATAAATGAAGCTCAAGCTATTTGATAGGGAGGGAGCAGATGGAGGTGGGGGTGGAGGAAGGCCCAGAAGGCAACAGGAGATCCTGAGGGGCAAAATCCTTTCCAACTTGAGAAGGAAGTTGCCACTGGCCTTGGACCTATAGGTGAGCTGGAGGTACCAGGTGAGGCTGCACCCACGTGGCCTTTCGCTCTGCAGAGCCTTGGTGCCCCTGCTATTCAGTGGCTCCAGCATCTGTGCTGGGTGCCAGGGCGACTCGCCAGACAGACCTTTCTTTTCCTTCGTGCCTTAATTGGGTCTTAGGTGCCAGGCTGGTCCCTAGGGCCTGTTCTGCTTGGGGTGGCATGGTGGTGGGGAATGGCGGAGGCGGCTAGGGGAAGATGTGATGCGGTGAGAGCAGGGAAGATGGGATTTAGTATATTTTTCTCTCCCGTTGCCAGTCACCCCCGCGGCACCAAGGAAAATGTAAATGTGAATGTTCAAGCCTGTTACAGAAAACAATATCCTCCTGCAATAATTTGTACGTCCATCTGTGAGGAGCGGGAGGAGGCAGGGAGAGGAGGAGAAAACACGATGAGATGGCTCGTCCTCTGGATGGAATTAAGCAGTTATTGAATGTATTTTAAGCTTCTGTTATTTCCATTCCTCTCAAAATACCTTTTTTTGATGAAGCCTGAGCTCAGACTGATTCCCCAGAACTGAATTGGGAAGGTGTTTTAATAATCGGTTATCGAGTCTCCAATAACTGCCTTATTATTGCCAAAACAAATCCAGGTTTGGGCAGCCAGATGAACCCCAGTGAGGCTCTCAACGTTGTTACATCCAGCGTGCCAGCATCTGTGTTGCCTGCATTTGCATTTTTACTGTGTAAAAGAACAAGCTTCCCCGGTACTAAAATTCCTGTTTTCTAAAAGCCAAAATAATGGGTCGGCATCGATTGTTTTCATTTCCCACCCCAACCTCTTGGATGGGGAGGACTCATGGTCCTCCTCTCTTGAGAACCAAATTAAAAGCCTTCATCAAGCCATTAAGAAAATCTCTAACACTCTGTTCAGTGTCTAATTAAAACGGGGGGGGGCACTGGGAGAATGTGTTTTAAAAATCTTGAAACGACAAATACAACTTAGGGGAAGCAGGTGAAAGACCAGGAAGCATTGGGGAGGGGCAGGTGGGCAGAGAGGCTCTGGCTACTAGAATTACACAGGAAAGAATGAACTGCCATAATGCCCGACAACCTTTCAGATGCTTCATATTCCTGGGCATCAAAGTCAGCTGCCTTAAATATGTTTCTGCAGCAGAATGGGGAGCTCAATTAGAAACAAAAAGCAAGTAAGCAGTTGACCCAAAGGCAGCGCTTAACTTGAGCAGATCCCAGGAGACTGGCTGGAGAGGCTTATTTTTCTTAGATTGAGGAATGGGGAGGAAGTGGGCAAACAAAGGGGGGGCTTGGCCAAGCGATGTTTTGCTAAAGAAGCAAGCCTCCAAACAGACAGGCTGGGATACTGCAGATATGGGGTGGGGGTCAGCCCAGAGTAGCTAATGGGCTGTTGGCCTTTGACAGAGGAGTGCAGACCTTATTTTCTCCGTGTCTTCAGGAAGGCCATCCTTGCGACTTGCTTGGTCTCCTGCTAGGCCTGGTGGAAGATAATTTTATTTGTGGATGAGTTGAAGGGAAGGTGCATATTCAGAGTGTTTTTTTGAGGGGGGTACAGATGCCAGGCTGGGATAGTCTTCCCTCCCACATAATCTTGGAGGAGGTGTTTCTTGAGGACATTTGAAGCATTCAAGAGGAAGAGACCCCAGCTCCTGAAGTGCTTTCTCAGCCCCTAGCCCAGTAGATTCTAGCCAGCACCCAGGCTCCTGAATGGGGTGAGCCACAGGCAGCAGAGATGGCAGGGTGCCAGGAACCCAAGGGCAGGCCCTGGATTTACATATAATTTGCATTCAGATTTGCATCCTCACCTAGCCAGGCTAAGAGCCTTGCCCTCTGTGAGTAGCACCTTGATCCCAGCCTCAGTAGCAGCCGGTCAGTGGCTTTTTCCTAGTGTGGAATGGGGATGAGGCCGGGGTGGAGAGAAGGACTCGTGTTTCTGGTAGTGCGTCTCTCTTGCCTCTGAGTTTTAGGCCTGCAGGGGTTCAGCACTGAGTTCTTCATCTGGCCAGGCAGCCTTGGCGCTCACTGGGAGCTCATGGGATGGCTTTCAATGGGCAGAGAATGCCCTAAGGCAGACTACACTTGGGGTGTGGGTTATCCCTCTTGTGTTGTAGGAAGAAGAAGAGGGTGAAGAGAGGGGCACATCAGCTGTGAGAATAGAACCAACACAAACCTTCTGGTGAGTGCACCCCTGAAACAGCAGAAACTGGGTGCTTAGGGCTGTGGTCAGAAGGTAAAAGAAGCAGCTGCTGATGGGAAGGGGGTGTGAAGTGAGGCAAAATGCTCTTTTCCCCTCCTGGGTTGTCAACATCCAGATTGGGAGGGGGTGGTGGCCTCTGATACATTAGGGATAGAGAACCAGCCTTCTTATTCCGCTACTGTTGAAGCCACTCCAGTCTTGTGTGGCGTTCCGGTGGCGGCGGTGGGAAGGCAGGCACTGTGGTCATAGAGGGAAGGCTGGGTAAAAGACTGGGAGTAATGCTTGAGGAGGAAACACTTCGGGGCAGCTGGAGTGCTCCTTCCCAGGGAGCCAACTGGGATGCTTGTAGTGGGAATGTGGCCTCAGGAATGGTTTTGTCTGCATTTTTGGGGCCCTGAGCAAATCTTGCCCGGCAGGTGCAGCTCCAAGGCCTCCCAGAGTGTTTTTCTGCACATCTAATGATCCGGGAGGACCCAGGTCCACCCAGAGCCCACAGAGGTTTCCAAAAACGTGGGGTGAAGCCTCAGGGAATGGCTGGGGGTAGAGATGGGGAGGGCCAATGGGAAAATCTCAAGCTTCCTTCACCCCCGCAATTCTTCCGACCAGAGCATCTTATGTATTGGAGTTGTGAAGAAAAATAAAAAAGATTGCAACTCACTGGTGTGGTGGAAATTTGGAGTTGAGGCAAACCCTTCATTAAAGGAG